GTTACTTGAGATTTTTGGATGAAGCTAATCGGGTTACTTGAGATTTTTGGATGAAGCTAATCGGGTTACTTGAGATTTTTGGATGAAGCTAATCGGGTTACTTGAGATTTTTGGATGAAGCTAATCGGGTTACTTGAGATTTTTGGATGAAGCTAATCGGGTTACTTGAGATTTTTGGATGAAGCTAATCGGGTTTGATAGTCTCAAGGGTTAGCTACTGAATATGCTTGAAATCATGTTAATTCAACGTGTGTAGAATTTTATATGACACTTAAAGTATGCTGAGCTAGGTTACTTTCCAACCTGAGTCGCTACGGGGTTTTAAAAAATATTTTAATGCCCTATATGCTGTCGACAGAAGTCGATTTTTGGATGTCATATTATAAGGAGTTTTCTACTTTACACTAAAATTCACAAAGTTTCGAGATCGATAGCTATGCAAACGAATTTATTTTGCCAATTTCCGTTTGAAAGAAAAACTAAAACAGCAACATTATTTTTAAAGTTTTGCCAAAAAGTTTCACATCAATAGAGGTTATCTTTTAGTATTGAATTATTTTGTTTTCAAAAAAAGGCCCACCTTTCCAGGGAAATGGCATGAGAGGATCCAGACAAGGATCTGCCATAGAAGATTGAGTACAAATGAGAGCTTTTCGTTGAATTCATAGTCTTTTTTGTTGAACGAGAGTTTGGCTTTTTGAAAGCAAATTTCATTTAGCTTTTGTTAGAGAATTTCTTTCGTGGTGGGATCAGTTAAATTTTCTCAATTTTTGTTTTAGGCTTTGGTCGCATGGAACAATTCAGTATTTATCTCTTCAAGATGAATCATAGTTTGCTTCGCCTTTTCACTTGCCATTGTTAATGTAGTGGTTGAAATTTGAAAATTTTAAGATCAAAAGATAGGAGGATAAAAAAGTCCCACCGAGCGTGCCAAATAGTATTTGAAATACAAAAATCATTACAAATTGTATTTTTCAAAGTACAAGTGGATATTAATCCTCTTGTTATTGCGAAATAGTAAAATTCTCTGATTAATAATCTGAATGTTTGAAGACGAAAGACTACGTGACTTAAATTCTGGTCTTCGAGAATTTGTTGAAAATTTGATTTTTTAAGAACTTGACTTGTTCAACTCTTAGATCTCGGGGTTTTGAATTGAACTTGAATTTAATTTGATTTGAAAAAGACTTTAATCTTCTTAGATTTGACTTGTACTTTCTTGATTCGAAGAAGATTTTGATCTTCTTGGTGTTCTCCGGACTTAGATTTGAGAGGATTTCATCTCTTAATCCGACTTTGGAAAATTTTCAGCACTTTGTGATTGTTTTATGTACTTTCACTTCTGTCTTTGAAATGTTATGGACCTTCGGTCCCACTTATAGGCAAAATTTGTGCCAATTTTGATGACAACTCAATTCTTTAAATAAAAAGAATAATTGAGTAATTATGGTGTTTTTTTTTTTTTTTTTTGAAGATAGCCTTTAGATTTTATGGACATTAGTAGATTTTAATTTAATTAGGTTAATTATTTAAATCGTCTCAATCCATTAATTATCTTATTTATTTAATTATTTAGTTATTTGTTTTATTTATTATTTTTGATGTCTACAATACAATGAATCCCCCAAGCCCTGGCTTGAATATATACATGTAATGAAACTCCACAAGCCTTCCTTTATTTGTTGGCCTCGAGTAAGTATTTATAGAACAATAATTAGATAAAATCATAGTTCAAATTGAAATCCATCAGAGAGTTTAAAGAAAAATGAAACAAATTCTTTTCTAAGTAAACTCCTTTTCTCATATGATTTTAGTCTTGACCCAATGCAAGTTTTGAAAGTTTAAAATTCAGACCCAAATGTAAAATTTAAACTTATGAATTTTTACTGAATACTCTATTAATATGTCCAATTGATAACGTGCAATTCAGTTAATTTTTAATTGCTTCAAATCAACTCCAATTAAACTACAAATAACGTATTTTCATACAAATTGTAATTAAATTGGGATTTTCCTAAAATTAACATTGTTTACACGAAATTAAGTAGATATTCGTCCAATTAACATATAAATAAATAAGAGAAGTAGTACGAATAAGCAAATAAAATGTATTAATCACTTTGCTAATTATTTTGGTTAGTAAATTTATTGGGTATATATATACTTAAATTGGGTTATCCCAAGTTATAATTCATGTCAAACTCAACGTATTTTTGTTCCAAAGAAAATTCCTAAAGTATTTTCAAACCATTAAAAACAAATTGATAAAATTATTTAGTGCAAGTTGTTGTGATTGAATTGTAGTAGGTAACCAATAAAACAGTTTTAAATTTTTTATTTTTTATTTTGGTTCATTTAATGTTTAAAGGAAAACAACACAAACACGTATTTTTCCAAATACATTCTTTTTGAGTAAAATATTTTATCTCACAAGTAAAAAATTATTTGAGAGTGGATTCAGTGAATGTGGAAAAGTAACTCAAAAGAAAAAAAAAATGTATATATATATATATTTCAAGTGGATCACATGCTTAAATAATGGTGTTTGGAAAATTTTCAAATTGGTAAGTAAGAATGGAATCAATGCCTCAATTTTGATGTTCACACCACTACAATGTTGTAACTTTGATCTCACAAACACAAACAGGATCTTTTGTCAATTCGTCTGACTTGTACGTGGATTCTTGTTTGATTATAATTATAGATAACTATACAATATATAAAATTTAGAAAAATATATAAGATTTCTCGAGACCGACTTAATTTGAAATCAACGATTTCTTCTCCGAATCTACGAATATTTTCTCATAAACCCGTATTTGAAAATAAAATTAAAACATTTTTCAAATCTTTGCAAGTTGGTCTCTACTCAAAATTGATGACTTTACTTTCTGTTATGTTGCATGCGATAGAATGGTCGGCCATTTACACTTTTTTGATATTTTAATTTATTATTATAACGGAATCGGTGAGGGAGTGGGCCCGGGAACCATCAAACCTTTGATTGTGTCTTTTAGTATAAGTCAAACAATCCAACAAATCTACTTTCTCCCACCAAAAATTGTTTGACAGCAAAAACTATACAACTCACTTTCTTTGCAAATACCCAATCACATCAACATGTCAATTCAAAGTAATAAACAAGTCATCTTTTTGTTTATTACCCAATCAATAAAAAGCAGATATAGCGAAATCTTAAATAAAATAATGCTATATAATCATTGTTTGGTATTTATTAAAATCAAATAATGTTTATATTTTGATAAAAATTAATAAAATATATAGTTGGATAATTATGAATTCTATGAAATACGTAATTAAAATTAAGAGTCTGTTTGTCTTCTATTATGAGAGAAATTAAAAATTTTTAAATAGTATTTTTTTAGAAAATGTGTAGTTAAAATTAAAAAAAAATTATTAGTTCGTGTGTAAAATATTTTATTATGTGAATATGTATTGAAAAGGGTTACTATAGCAATCAATTTGATTTGTTGGAGGATGACAAACAGAAACTAATTGTTAATTTTGATTTAGATTTTAATCATATTTTCTCAAGATTATCTTGTTTAAAAGTTTGTCAAGAAAACTTGAAATCTCAAATTGAATATTGTTATGTAGCACAATTTTCATGCTTTAAAACTGAACTTTTAAGTAATTTGAAAGCTTATTATTATCTAACTTTCAGTTACATGATAGTCTAGTATGATATTATTGTTTATATTGTTGAAATTTGTCAAGTAATTATCCAATTGATTTGCAAATTTATGTAGATTGAGAACTTAAAATTATATTAAAGACTTGTTTGACATATTCTTTGAGAAGTCAAACGAGATTTTGAGATTTAAAAGTTGCTTTTGATTCAATTGACTAAATTTTATAAAAGTGTTAATTAGAAGAGCTTTTAAAGAAAATTTGTCTAATGTAATTTTATTTAAAAGGATTTTTCAGAATATGAAACTCTTCTAGATATTAGTTTTCAATTAAAAATTAAGATACTTTTTTTAAAAACTCTTCTACATAAAATAAAAACCAAAGATAAAAACATGTCAAACGAACTCTAAGTAAGATATTAAGGAGCTCAATCTTAGGTTTTTCAAATCAATACAACTCATGCCTTGTTTGAGCCCCATTATTTTCTCATTAAAATAAAAAAAATATGATCGTTATTTATTACATCAAGTCATCATATTTTTCTTTTTATCTTTTGTGTGGAGCTCATAATGATTATACTTTTCATTCTCATTTTTATAATAATGTAGCTCAAACGGCTAATCAATTTTCTTTGCAAATATATATCCATTTTCAGAGAGATGTCGGTATATTGTGTATTTGTCAAATTTTTAGTTGAACACCAGTCTGTTTTTATACGAGAAACAAAATACGTGTTAACTACGCTAACTTGTGGAATATAACAAACAAAAAAGTGCAAAGAATCTTTAAAAAATCAAAATGAAGTCCGCAAAAAGTTAAAGGATGACAGGTAATATATTCAGACAAGGGCACACCCACCCACCCCAACAGGGACGCATCAAACTGCACTGGGCAAACCATTTCCCCTTCCTCCTCACTCTCTATTTATTGCATTGTTAACGCCAGTAATTCTCATGCTTGGTTTCTTTAGAATATTACCATGGGAAATTTGCTGTGTTTTTGGGTTGTGGCGGCAAGTTCGCTAGTATTTTGTGGGTCTTGGGCAAATGCTAAAGACGCAAGTGCTTCGGCGGTCGGGGACCCGGGCATGCGAAGGGATGGGCTGAGAGTTGCCTTTGAAGCTTGGAATTTCTGCAATGAAGTAGGCGAAGAAGCCCCTGGTATGGGAAGTCCAAGAGCTGCTGATTGCTTTGATATTTCAAGTAAGAATGGTGAAAAATATTCAACTTAAAATTATATTTTTATTTAGGCATTTTTATTTAGACTTCATTTGCTTGTTGTCAAATCTGTTTTCATTTTGTCCTTTTTAGACCATTCTCTAATTCACAAAGTGAGTGAGGAGGATAACAAACTTGGCATTGGGAAGCAATTCCCGGGATTGAATCCGAAAGCACTGAACAATCCGGACCTGTATGCAGCGGAGAAGGAAATATATTTGGGTTCATTGTGTCAAGTTTCACACGCAGCAAAACCATGGCAATTTTGGATGGTTATGTTGAAAAATGGAAATTATGACACTAAATCTGGTCTTTGTCCTGAAAATGGGAAAAAGGTACCACCATTTAATCCAGGAAGATTTCCATGTTTTGGAAGTGGATGTATGAATCAGCCAATATTGTACCATCAGCCCACAAGTTTGGATGGAAAGGACACAATGAAAGGAGGTTTTAATGGTACTTATGAATTAGATGGAAATTCTTACTTTGAGGTTGTCTGGGAGAAAAAATTTGGTTCCGGGAGTTGGAATTTTGCTCATAAATTAAGGACCTCGAAAAAATATCCATGGCTTATGTTGTATCTAAGAGCCGATGCAACCAAGGGATACTCCGGTGGCTACCATTACGACACTAGAGGAATGCTCAAAACTGTAAGTATTAGAAATCCCAGTTTGATTATGTCCAATTTAATGCTAAATTTCCACTTTTTATGTTGTGAAATTTGGGTACTTCGCATGATCCATTTCGAGGTCGACTTTGCAGACATGGCAATTCATTAATAAAATGTTATTTCTGTATTCAAAATTTCTAGTTGCTATCATCTGTATTTGGTTGTGGTCAAATCACTAGGATAACCTTAATTTGTTGGGTTTCAACTAGGGCAGGACTCAATGTGATGGAGACGCCAAGCATATTATTATTGTTTTGTAGAAAACTAGATTAGCCTACACCGAATGAATGTGTTGGACTTCCTTCACTAGACTCATTCAAATCACTAGGAGAACCTTAATTTGTTGGGTTTCAACTAGGGCAAGACTCAATGTGATGGAGACGCCAAGCATATTATTATTGTTTTGTAGAAAACTAGATTAGCCTACACTGAATAAATGTGTTGGACTTCCTTCACTAGACTCATTCAAATCACTAGGAGAACCATAATTTGTTGGGTTTCAACTAGGGCAGGACTCAATGTGATGGAGACGCCAAGCATGTTAGTAGAAAACGAGATTAGCCTACACCAAATGAATGTGTTGGACTTCCTTCACTAGACTCATTCAAATCACTAGGAGAACCTTAATTTGTTGGGTTTCAACTAGGGCAAGACTCAATGTGATGGAGACGCCAAGCATATTATTATTGTTTTGTAGAAAACTAGATTAGCCTACACTGAATGAATGTGTTGGACTTCCTTCACTAGACTCATTCAAATCACTAGGAGAACCTTAATTTGTTGGGTTTCAACTAGGGCAGGACTCAATGTGATGGAGACGCCAAGCATGTTAGTAGAAAATGAGATTAGCCTACACCAAATGAATGTGTTGGACTTCCTTCACTAGACTCATTCAAATCACCCGTGATAAGATTATTTTTCGTGACTAAAACTGTCCCCCACATTCATGAAATCTATACTGTGTTTGTGTATTTCATTTAATAGTAATTTGCAAACCCAAGTCAAGGAAAATTTGCCTGCTTTCTTCTTATTTACTTAAAAATGAAGTAATTAGCTACTTTTATATGTCTTGTGTAAAATGCTGCCATTATTACAAAAAATGTAGTTGCATTCCAGCTTCCAGTCTCTCCTAATTTCAAGGTCAGATTGACTTTAGACATCAAACAAGGGGGAGGCCCTCAGAGCCAGTTTTACTTGATTGACATTGGCAGCTGCTGGAAGAACAATGGTGCTGCCTGTGATGGGGACGTGCTTACTGATGTAACCAGATATTGTGAGATGATTATCAACCCAGAAACCCCTGCTTGGTGCAGCCCAACAAATATTGGAAACTGCCCACCTTATCACATTACCCCGAATAACACAAAAATTCACAGAAATGATACTGCCAACTTCCCTTATGGAGCATATCACTATTACTGCTCTCCGGGAAATGCCCTGCACTTGGAGCAACCAAACAGTACGTGTGATCCTTACAGTAATCCCCAGGCACAAGAATTGGTTCAGTTGTTACCTCATCCAATATGGGCAGAGTATGGCTATCCGACTAAAAAAGGAGAAGGTTGGATTGGCGATAAAAGAACTTGGGAGCTCGATGTTGGTGGACTTTCCAGCAGACTTTACTTCTATCAGGTATGGAATTTAAAAAATTTTGTATACATAGTTTGGGGATATACTAACTTCCTTCTTTGCAGGATCCAGGTACCACTCCTGCTACAAGAGTATGGACATCTCTTGATGTGGGGACGGAAATTTTTGTGAGTGACAAAGATGAAGTGGCTGAATGGACTCTAAGTGATTTTAACGTCATTCTTACTTAACCAAAGGTAACCTTGTCGTGCACATTTTCCCCTGAAATGACCTTTTGCACGTATGAGAATGGAACGGAGAAGATTAACTCAAAGTCAAAGCTGTAGTTCCTTAATGCCGGCACCATTGTTGAAGTGAACAACTGCCGGTTCTTTTCCTCAAAGACGTATTATACACATTATCGTAAGCAATTAACAGTTTCAACTGTGAATTTGTACCATTGAGAGCTTCTTTATTCTAAACACAATTTTCAATTATGAATTAAGTAACCAGCAATACAGATATTTGTTGACATTTGACCAATAAAGTATCCTGTCATGTTGCAGATTTTAGCTTCGTTTTCTTGTTTTCTTATTTATTTGTTAGGCTATCATACATACTGTTAGGTGTAGTTAAATTTCGTGTCCAAATTATCATTCAATCCAGTTGTAATTAGGGGCGAGGTGTCAGGTGTTGGGAGTTGTTCACGAAAATATTATTTCGATTTAAACCCACTTTAAGTGTACGGTTCGTTAACAAATAATATAATGGAATGTTGATTTTCGAATATCGTCCCACAGAGATTGAGTTAGTTCAATTTTACTTATCACGACCTTAACTAAAACAAGAAAATAGTACGTGTTTTGTGATGGAAATTATAGTTAAACTAAATTAAGAATGCAACTAATGACTTAAATGAGCTAAATGAAAAATTATGTTTGAATGCAAATCGATGTAAATAAGGAATGAGAAACGCACTAGGATCACGAATCTCATACAATGATCCCCTTTAACTCTAGTTCTACAATTTGACAACACGTTTGCATGTTGAAGAATCAATGTTCTTATTTATTCAACAATCTCTTTCGAGTAATGTTGAACCTATCCATACATATGACCCAACTATATCTCTATGACGGATGCGAATAAATAAGAATGCACGAGTTTTTGTGAACATATAAAGAATCACGAAAGGTATAGCGATATATCTCTATCTCCTATTGGACCTTACAATGATTTATACTCTATCGAGCCTATTTCCCTTCTCTCGAATGCATGAAATACGCCACCAAATTCACACAATCACACGTATAATAATTGCTGAGAAGATAATTGCATATAAATAATTCAAACTCAAAGAACGAGTTTTATTGTCAAGAATATAAAATTAGAAATCAAAAGATTACATTGCATGGTTCATCGTTTTCCTAGTACAGAAATATCTAACCTAACATGGAGAAAAGAAGAAAACACAAAGAAATTTGAAGAAACAACATCATCAATTTAATGTTCTAATTGAATCTTAGCGTAATCCCGTCGATCTTCGTGTTTCTCCTCGTGTTTTTGGCTCAAAATCTCCTTCAAGATATATTGTAATATGTTCTCCTCTTGATTTGATGGCTCTAAGGTAAAATAGGTTCCACGACTTGTTTCCATAAGAATTTCAATCAGAAAATGAAACTAAAATTATAGTGCTGAAAGTGTACTACGCGACCGTATAGTACGCTACCATGCAACCGCATAGATCACACAAAATCAGCCCTCCAAGTCTCTAGATCTGATAATGCGACCACATAGACTTTCATACTATGCGATCGCATAGTATGAAGTATCTCCCAAAAGTGGCAATTTGGTTCCTGGCTCCAATTTCTTACTTCTTGGAGTCTTTCTTTCATTTCCTCTTCTTCCATCACTCTACTTCTTCAAGAATTAGTCCTTGATTCTTTAACATCTTCGTTTCTGTTTTTGGGTAATCTTTTGACTACTTACATTTTGGTCCCTAAACTTTGGTTTTCGTCCATTCTGGTCCTTTTTCGTTTCTTTTCTCTTAAATTCCATCACATTCATCAATATTGTCTTACAAAATGAAATCGTACAAACTAAGCTGTATTCAAACACTTTTGTCAATAATTTGCCATGTTGACAAATTTGTGGGCAAAATAACTGTGTAAAAATGCACTTATCAAACTCTCAAACTTGGGCTATCATCTGTCGTCAAACAAAATTGTGACTTAACTCTATACAAAGCATGGCTTGACAACTTGTCGTGTGTCAGGATTGGAATTCAGCAATAGTGCAAAAATAAAATCAACATTCACCTGTTAAATGCAAAACTCTACACGTGTATA